GGCTAGTTCTGCTTATTCTTATTTCGTCCAGAAAAACCCTTCAGGGCCTTATGTCAAAACGAACGATTTTTTTCGTTCGGAGTGATATTCTAAGAAAGCAGTACAAAAAATCCGATTTATTTTGTTTGTTTATATTTTTGTCATTGATGCTTGTACTCGACTGTGTGTGCCAAGCACACCGTTGGATTTTCAGTGAAGACATGGTTCTCGTTTACCTCATTGGATTTTCTTTTTCCCTTTCAGAAAATGGAGACTGCGTGCAGCCCGCGCGCGAGCCCCGCTGCTCCCCCGGGGGCGGTCCCGGGTCCCTCGCCGGGTCCCAGGGCGCGCCCTGCGAGCTGCTGTTCCTGCCCCTGGTCACGCCGGCCTCGCGGCCGCCGAGCCAGCACGACGACCGACTGCAGTGCAGGAGCGACGTGCCTGGTGAGTTGCTGCGACGCCCCGCTTCTGCGTGTACACCTGCAAGCTGCCCCCCTCATGGCGACACGACGGTCTCAACCAACCCCCTTCCTTCTCCGCCCGCAGGCTTCTTCTCGGCCCCGTGCCCGCCGCTGCGCTCCGCCTCCCAGGTGGCGCACCTGCACTGCGACCCCGTGTCCACCAACGCCCGGCGCTGCGACACGACGCAGTTCATCCGCACGCGCTGCCCCTTCATGCAGACCTGCGACCACGTAAGTATACAGTGAAAGGGCGTACTGTACTACACACGACGTGCGAGGCGACGAGCGCCGACAGCGCCGCGGCCCGCGCCTCGCGCGCGTGCGATGGGCTGCCTACGCCGCCCGGCGCGCTGCGACGGGGAACCTCGGGGCCGCGCCGCCGCGCAGCAACCGCGACTCAAACGGGGCGTTCGGCGCTCGCTCGGAGGTGTCATGTTCGTGTCGCGCTGTGCATACGGCGGCGACATGTTACGCAGCGTGTGCGGCGCAATGCGTGCCTTGGCGTGGCGTGGCGTGGCAGAAGGTCGCGCACTCACTCGCACTGCTCGCACGTGAGTGAGCGTGAATGAAATGCTTTGCTTGCCCGGCCTGTCCCGCCGAGTCCATGGTCCGCCGCCGCCGCGGCCTCGGGCGCTATGCGCGGCATGATGCGAGTGAGTGACACGAAATGCCGATCGCCGCGTTCGATGACTCCACCTGCGTCCTGCGTCGGGTCGGGCGCGGTGCGGAGGCGTCTTGTGCGTGAGTTTTCGGCCGGGTCTGTCTGGTCTGGTGCGCTAGCGCCC